TTTCATTCTCCACTCCCTGCTGGAACTGACCATTCTCTGTTTTTGAGCTCCGCCAACGTACAAAGTCTTTTTTTTTTTTGCAAATAGATCTATATCGATATCTATATATATCCAAAACTGCCTCCAACACTCCATCTGCCTTGTGGTTCACTTGGCAGATCAAAGCACACTTTGACAGTTAAACCATTTAAAAAAAAAAAACCCTTACACAGTTTGCACTGTGTATCCATGCACCCATCTCCATACCCGTACCCTGCACTCACTGCCCTCCTCAGAGGGCCTGACCCTGAAAAAGCCTATGCCAGACCCCTCTCCACCATACGAGGTCTGCCATTTCTTTCCAGTCATCCTCTTCTGTCATCCTGTAGTACCAGTACATTTCACTTAATCCCATTTTAATACAGTCCTATTTTAGTTAGTCCCATTTTAATACAGTCCTCAACTCCAGGGATGTGATACTTCCCCTCTATGTGGCATTGGTTAGGCTGCAGTTGGAGTACCGTGTCCAGTTTTGGGCACTGTACTTCAAGAGGGATGTGGACAACCTCGAGAGGGTTCAGAGGAGGGCTACACGTATGGTTAGGGGCCTGCGGGCAAAGCTCTATGAGGAGAGACTGAGGGACCTGGACCTCTTCAGCCTGCACAGGAGAAGCCCAAGAGGTGATCTTGTGGCTGCCTACAAATTCATCGAGGGGGAGCAAGGAATAGGAGATGCTCTGTTCACCAGGACACCCCTTGGAGTAACTAGGAACAACGGCCACAAACTGACAGGGAGCAGATTTAGGTGACACATCAGGAAGAACTTCTTTACGGTAAAAAGGTGGCCAGAATCTGGAATGGGCTTCCAAAGGAGGTGGTGCTCTCCCCTACCTTGGGGGTCTTCAAGACAAGGCTGGACATGCACCTGGCTGGGGTCATCTGACCCCAGCGCTCTTTCCTGCCAAGGGCAGGGGGTCAGACTCGATGATCTAGTGAGGTCCCTTCCAACCCAAACATCTATGAATGTAGGACTCCTGTCCAAACAGGTAAAACAAGCCCATTCTGAGGAGCTGCTACCTAAGCTGTATACAGGAAGACTGGTCTAATATAGTTATTAGACCAACTATTTGAATTGGTCTAATAAAAGCTATCAGATTTACTCAAAAAACCTCATCTGCCTATGCCCTTAGACCAACACAGCTACAACCTACACCCCTGTAACATGGAGGAGGCACTTGCGAGCCTGCAGTATCCACTGCTAAGGCAGCAGGAAAGCTGGCTGCAGAAGCCTCTCCTCTCAGGGGTGCTGTTAGGCTGCCAAACTCAAGGCCAGCACCCCAGGGACTCGGCATGTTTGAGCTCAGTGGGTTCTGCCGGCCCAGCTCTATTTGCTGCCTTCTCCATCTTATCTTCTCATTCCCTTTCCTGCCCTTCCTTGCCAGGTTCCCCCCACCCCCTCCCCCAAGCAACCCTGCTATGCCATGGCACCATGCCAGTCCTACATCAGCCTTTCTTTGAAGTGTTGCAAATGGGCACTGGTGCAAAATAAACCCCTATGCCCAGGTATGCACATTCCTCAGAGCAAGGACAATGCCTCCCCCCGGTTTGCACACCATCAGTCACACTAAGGACCTGCAGAAAACATGAGCTCTTGTATCTATTTTGGCATGGCGTGGGCGAATCCGTTCCCTCATTCTTGGAGCCCTGCTTGCATTACTCCGAGTCGCGTTTGCCTCTGATCTGTTCCTGGATCGTGAGGTGCGCAGGAGAGGAAAGAGGCTCTGAAGGCAATCGGCTTTCAGATCAGGACCATGAATAATACTGGTTGGCTGGGAGCCAGAATACACTGTGCTGACTTCAGGGGCATTTCCTCCCCTGTGGAAGCTCCCACACCTCAGCCTGACCTCATCCCCACAGCCAGCTCCCTGTGCATCACTGCTTCAGAGGAAATGTTGCATCCCACCACCACCAACCCCCGCCCCCCCGCCGCCACTCTCCCTCAGCAGTCTCCTCCCCCTGGACTGGAGGTTTAAAGTAGGACAGGCGCTGGGCAGAGAGATCAGAGCAGAGACACATTCCAAGCACATCCAGTCTGCATCTAGCGGAGGCCAGGAGCAGCATACAGACGAGGAGAAGGGCAGGTATGTGTCATTCTGCACCTGTCTGCAGCTCCAGCCCCTCTTTCTGCTAAGCTTTGCATTCCCGTGGGAGTAAAGCAAGTCACACTCTAGCTATGAACAATTACTCCGTGACTAACGAGCGCAGGGCTTTTGTGGGATTTCACTGAGCTGGTGCTTTTTATGGTGTGGGAAGACTCATGCTTTTGGGGAGAAGGGGGCCCCCACTTCGCTCCCTCGGGGAAGGCTTGCTTCCCCCAATTCAGGGGACAGACTAACATTGCAAACACTTCCATCAACTCTGGGCCACTGGGGAAGCCTCCTGCAGAGAAGGACACTGAACAGAGAAAAAAAAGAATTTAAATAGAGAGAGACTGAAAGTTTTGGGAGACCCAGCCGCCCAGCTGCAAAATGCCCATCCACCCTCCTCCCAGCAAAAGATCAGGCTGTGCACCGCTCTCCAGCACTCCTGACACTTGGCTTTCTTCCCTCAGGGGAAGCTGCAGGGCTGGACGCAGGCATGTAGAAACGGTGGATTCAAAGCATCTTAGCTCCTGAGAGGTCAGGAGAGCAAGTGCTGTGTCTGTAGCACCTATGCTCCCATGGCTGGGCAGAGCAATGATCTACTCTCCCAGCATCTGCAGTGGGGTATGGGGTGAGCCCAAGGCAGGTGCACCAGGTCCAGGGAGGGGTGTGAGGGGGTAGAGCTAAGCAGCATGAAGCAAATCCACTCATTCCAGGCTACCCAGCCTCCTCCTCCTCCTGCCTGTTTCTCCTCTTCAAGGCAAGACAGCAGTTACTTCACCACAAAATACTTGCTTATGGGTATCTATGCACAAGCCATACAGCTTTTAATCCTCTTAGAGTTTGCAGGAACGCAGTCAGAAAGCCCATCTGAAAAGTTACAGCATCAGCTAAGTATGGTGCCTGCCTTCCCCCCCAGAGCAAGCACCAAAACAAGCAAGTTGGCCTTCAGGTCTCATCTCTAGCTTAACTTCTGGTCCCTGGGAAGGGTAAAGGTCAGAGCTGCAGGTATAGCCATGCTGAGAGCAACTGGAGAAGCGTTATTGTTAGCAGAAGTCTGCTTATAGCTGTGTAAATATTCTGTATTTTTAGAGGGCCATATGGTTTCAGTTAGATACAGCTTATTGTTCAGAACAGCCTGATTGATCGGGCCAGGCACAGCCTAGGTCAGGATCAGACTAACAAAATACATCTGGCAAACATCAGTCAGCAGCTTTCCAAACCTGCCAGATACAAGGTCTGTCCAGCAACTACACATATGTCTTCTGGAATGGATGGGCATTAAGGTAGGAGCCGAAACAAATGGAGGTAGTGAGGGTCACTGGAACCAGGATGCACCAGGCGCAGGAAGCACTGCTGGGTAGAAAGATAATGCTCCGGGCTGGCCGAGTGCATGGCACAATGCTTTAGCTACCAACTTAAACTGGACAGACCTGGCTTTACATGTCATTGTTCTTTCCACTGTGCAGAGGCTTTAAATGGGATGTTCTCCTCCTACACCAGCTTCCCTCCCAGATCTTAACAGAGAACTTGTTGGGGGAAAGAAACAGAAATCTGCTCCCTTCTTCTCCCCATCAGAACTAGCAAGGCTCCACCTGAGTCTACAGAGCTGGGCTACTGCCCAGTGATCAGCTGACTAGCCCAACTGCTGGCCTCTCTGGAGAGACTCAGACTTGGCCACAAATGGCTTTTTTCCAGGGAATCCTAACAGACTCCACAACAGAGCTGGCGCAGAGGTTTCCTTCCAAGGAAGCATGGGCCAGAAATGCTTCCTTCCAGAGCAGCACAGCTGCAATAAATACACTGCTCCAAAGCAAGGTCTTAGCAGAAGAGAAGGGGATTTTGCCTGTCTCTGGGTGGAAGCCATGAGGTCCAAGAGCAGTAGTTATCAGCAAATTATGGTTGCGTAGCAATGGCTGCAGGAATTCAGAGAATCACCCCCCTTCTGGTTTCGAGGCAGCGACTCTGGGACTCCTGGGTGAAAACAAGAGCCCAGTTTTCAGCAGTAGCCCCTTGATCTTAGGGTGAGAGGCTGAGATGCAGCTCCCATACAGTAGTCCTGCGGCTTCGGCATCTCTTCTCACATTCAGTGAGCACAGTCCCAGCCCATTTGAAGGATGTCCCTGAACTTCATAAAGGGCTGCCATTCAGTGAGGACTCTTCCTTAATGGGCATTTTCTGCCAAAAAGTCTGAGTCTGTAGGGATCCGTGGGAAATCTGCCTGCTCAGCTATGCTTCTAGGGGGATGGTGGAACTGCAACGGTTTTCCCATGAGATGCAGGGGAGGCTTGAAGCTGGAAAGATCAGTGAATCCTGCAGGCTACTCCCCCGATTGGTCAGCTGCACAGTCTCAAAATGCCTGCGACCCTCTCCCATGCCCCGCCGAGGACCCACCTTGTGCAGGCCCCCCATGGCACACTGCCACGAACAGCCTCTTGCTGCCCCTGCTCCATCCACCACCTGGAGCAGCCAACTCGTGTCTTTCAACCAACCCCCTGTTTTAAACAAGCTCTTTGTAGTCTCTCAGCTTTGATTTCTGACCTATGACTAATCTGTTTGTCTTGTCCTCATCCCCACAGCCTTTACCCCAACTGCTCTCCCTGGCTTTATTCAAACCATGGGGACTGAGCTCCTAATGTGTGAAAGTGCAGCCTCTCTCACAGCCCAGGGCCGCATTTCTGCTCAGCCCTGGGCTTCCTGAGAGAAGTAAACAGAAAAGGGGGGGGCACAAGAGCAGAGCTGCATCTGCTGGCAGAAATATCCGAATGGCAGAAATTGGGACTAAGTACAGAAACCAAATTCTCCCCCTGGCCCTGGATCAGAGTGATCAGCTCAGAACACACTTGGAGGAAGGCTGAAGGGCACCCGTTTTACCTATTTGGGGCTGGTCTTGTCAACCAAGACACATAGGAAGGTTTTGGAGCTTCTCGTCACTAAAGCTGTGTTACGAATGCTACCCCCAACCGAAGGCTCGGTGTCAAAGGCTCTCTCCACCCTGCAGCAACCACCCTCCACCAGCACGTTACCCTCCAGCCCCACTCTGTTCTAGGGAAGGAAACCATCCCTCTGTCTTCTTCGTCAGGGATGGGCCAGGGCAGGGAAGGGAGAAGATGCCAGAGAGGCTACTGCAGCCTAGAGCTAGAGCTCGAGCTGCAGCCACTGTGGGAGGATGGAAAAGCTGCTCAGCCCAGGCAAGGGAACACACTGATCTCAGCACCTTGGTTTTTCCCGCAGTAGTTACTGTGATCAGGTCAGCTCTAGGCACTTGCCCATGGAAGAGAAAGACAAGGCTAACGGAGGAGCAAACAAACTTGCCAGCAGAAAGAGGGATGCAGGCAGGAATCCTGGTCCAATCCGCCTTGGGTCTTGTTAGACCAGCTGGGAATTGGGGTAGGAGACAACCGTTTCCCAGGGCTACCATTGTGGGGGATGGAAGATGTGAATGAGTCGCGCGAGCTGCAGAGAGCTCACTCCAGGCGGGTAAGAAGGAGGCTTTGTCTGAAGGACAGCGCTGCTGGAGGAGACCAAAAGGGACAAGAAGTTGAGACTGTAGGGAAGTGAGTCAAGGACAGAAATGCGCCAATGAAAGAGTGCAAGGCCACTCCCCCCAGCTCTCTGACTCTCAGCTGCAAAACAAGGGGGTGGGAGATCAGGGTGGGACGAGCGGTGGGGGGTAAGATGCCCCAGAACAGGTGCCCAGTTTCGTCGCATTCCTCAGAGCACCCCACCCAAAGCACAGGCAGCAGGATGCCAACGCGCACACGGGTCAAGGACGGGGCAGTCACAGCTCCAATTCCGCACGTGAAGCAGACCAATTCCACCAGCAAACAGTCCCACCCAGCTCTGCCCTAGCTGATGCCAGCTTGTTTCTGCCCTACAGGTGCCCCATAGCCAGAGCAACTGGGCCCCGACATGCACACGCTCCCTCTCGGGCACCTCTTGTTGCTTCCCTTGAGACCTTGCACTCTGTTTCTTTAACCAAGGCATCATTTCCCCTGTGCAAGCCCAGGACCCCATGCTTTGCCCTCAGCACCGAGCCTGTCTTTGCCTCTTCCCAGCGTCACCCCAAGAACTCTGTGCAGGCACCCCTCATTGCCAGAGTCCAGAAGAGCCTGTTCTGCCACTGCCCCATGGGGGAATTTGAATCCTAATGTGCTGGGAGGCTAACAGGAGGCCTGTGGCTCAGCACCCACACCTACTCCAAGAAGCTCAGCCCCTGCCTGGTGCAGACAACTCACCCAGAGCCCCCTTTTTCTTTTTGTCCTTTTAGACACTTCGAGATCTGCTCTGAAGGGAACAGAAGGGAACAAAATGGAAGGTGCCCTCCTGTGTCTCCTGCTGCTGCTGGGAGCCTGCACAACTCTCCAGCACCAGGTAAGAGGCCAGCATAGCAGGGCTGCTCGGAGCCCCCAAGGCCTTGGCGCCTTTGGCACCCTGGTCCCAGCTCTGACAGCACTCACTGGTTCCTAGCCAAGACACTCGCTGGTTTTGCCGGTCAGGATAAGGAACAGGAACAAGATAAGGCAGTGCCAAAAACTGGAGACAGAAAAGCCCAAACAAGGCCCCCCATGTTCAGCCCCAAGGCCAGGCTGAGACTTCACCCTGTCCTCCAGAACACTTTTGATTGTGTCCAGTAAAGGCCTCCCACCACTCTTCCCAGGCAACTGTTGACAGTCAGATGTCCTTCACCATCCACTAATCAAGGGCTCTACCCTGATCTGTCTTTACTAACAGCCATCCTAGCACCTTCACAAGTAATTCTCACCTCCTTCCATTCACACAGGGGTCCTCCCATTCCCCCTTTCCCCCCCAGCTCTGGCTTCAGCACCCAAACACCTTAGACTTGACCTTTCCTTAGGAGGCAGTCACTCCAAACCACCCCCACTAGCACTGCTCTCTGCTGCAGCCAGACTAAGGCAGGCTCCTGATACAAAAGGATTTCTATTTCACAATCCTTTGTGGCTGCCCTCCATCTCCCATCCACACCCAGCCCAGCTCTGAGGTCTTATGGTTTACATTTAAAGCAGGCACAAACCAAGGTACTTCACATGTGAAAGTCTTGTGTAACCAGAGGGATTACGTGTAACCCAGGCATGTAAGCCAGCTTGCACATGGCCCTCACTATTACTGCTGTGTGTGGCTGGGGCATCCTTCCCTTCCTGCTATCCCATGTACCGGGCAGGTAGGAGTGTCCAGACTCACCATGCCTAATAAGGGAGACTGGATTTAGGTAGTACTTGCCACATGACCAGCCAAATGGACTCAGACACCCTTCCTATTTCTCTGCTTGCAGGAGTTTCACGTCCGCGTCAGACGGGGAGCCCGATCACCAGGTGAGGCAGACAGGCGAGGCCCCCACCTTGACTGGGGCCAAGCAGGGGTGCAAAGAAAAGCAGGCTGATGCTGATGGAGCAAAGCCAGAGGGCCCCAACCATCCTCCCTGGCTTTACAAAGAAAGGCTTGGGTACAGCTGTTAGGGTGGTGGGGCAGGCAAGCTGCTACCTCCACACCTGGCTGAGAGGAGAAGGAAGCTCTCTCTCCACCCCCCACTCACAGGCAAGCTGTAGAGAGCACAGTGCTACCTCCGACTACCACAGGGACAAGGATGTGATGACTTGTCTGGGGAGGGGAGCACCCTGCTAGGGCCACCCCACTGAAAGAGGAACGAGTACGAGTCTCTATGCTCGGAAAACCCCGTTCTCAATCTCTAAGGACAGTTTCTTGTCTCCATTGCAGCCATTTGCAGGGACTCCTCATTCCAACAGATTTATCAGCCAGGGCAGACCTGGCTGCGCCTGGCAGGATCCAGGGTGGAGTACTGCCGGTGCGAGGGACGCCAGAGCCTCTGCCATACTGTGCCCGTCAGAAGTGAGTACAATGTGTGTGGGAGAAGCGATGCGTATGTTGGTGTTTCCCAGGGAGCACTGCCCACAGGGTGGGACAGTCCTGCAGAGAGCCTAGACAGGCCTCTCAGTGTGGCAGGACTAGGAGTGCAGGCAAGGCCTGAGAAGAGCCAAGACACCTGCCAGGGGGAGCAGAGAGAGCAGAGGACAGGAGGGACATGGGGCAAAGAAGGGAGACCAGGCCTATGGGGGCTGATGGGTGGGGTTGCATGGGGATATGTTCCCTGAAGCCTCTCCCTATGGAAACCTAACACGGCTTCCTGACTTGTGTCTGCCAACAGCCTGCGCTGAACAGAAGTGCTACAATGGTGGCCGGTGCAGGCAAGCGCTCTACTCCCCCCAGCACTTCATCTGCCTGTGCCGCCGGGGCTTCTCCGGGCAGCAGTGTGAGATTGGTGAGTGTGCAGCAGGCAGCCTGACTAGGTAGCAAGACAGCAGCACCCAGAGGCTGCTGGAGTGCAGCAGGCTCCACTCATGCCACAGCTGATGCCACAGCAGGTCTTGGGCTGCAGCAGGAAGAGAGACATCCACCACGGCAAAGTGAACACATCTCAAGAAGCACCCTTGAGCCCCGGGTCAGAGGCCCCTATGCACACACAGGCTCTGACAGTCCTGTTTGTCAGGGTTCTTGTGCCAAGTGCCTGACAGCAGGATACACAGGCCCTGCCTGAGGGAACAGGGGCAAAAGGGGCAACTGACCCCAGCTGCTTAGGGCTGGAAGCAGAGGTCACCTGGGATCCCAGCCTGACGCTGCCATTGTGCCCCCTGTTGCTCAGATACTGAGGTCAAGTGCTACAGGGATGTGGGCACAGCATACCGAGGGACGTGGAGCACGACAGTGAGTGGAGCTGAGTGCCTGAACTGGAACATCACTGCCCTGGTGCAGAAAAGGTACAACGGGCGGCGAGCGGATGCCACTAAGCTGGGACTCGGCAACCACAACTTCTGCAGGTGAGAGCCCAGGGGCGCAGGGAGTGGGCTAGCAGTGCTAGGTACTTAACGGGGTGCAGGGAAAGCTGCACATAGCCGGGTTCCACAGAGGGTACTGCAGAGGGCTGCCTTGGCCCCGCTGCCGAGACGCATCTAGCATGAATGTGCTGGAGCCATCCTAGGTGTGGAGACAGTGGAGTCACTCCGAAACACACTGCCCCAGCCTGAGCCCAGGGAAGCACTTGGTGACTCTCAGGGCCCAGCCTGGCTTGGGCCTGTCTGCATAAGCTACAGTCACCATAATGCAATGTGCCATGGGTGGGAGGGGGCCAGCGAGCATGACGCAGGTCCCCTGGGGAAATCTCACTCTTCTCCAAGCAGCCCACATCACCTGCTTCAGCCCGTCCTCTGCCCAAACTCCCTCTCCAGCGGAGCTACTTTGCTCCCAACTGCCTATCCAAGCCCTCCTTAAAAAACACTCCCCAAGCCCTACTACTCCCAGCACACAAGCTGCTCTGTACATAACATGCCACCCCTGTTGCCCTCTGTCATGTCCTGACTCCTATGTAATCCTCACTCAAAATCACTGAACTCAGCAGCAAGTCAGGAAGGGGCCAGGCACAGTTATGGAGCTATATGCATCGTGTCTATTCTCTCTCAGAAACCCAGACAAAGATGACAAGCCCTGGTGCTACATCTACAAAGGGGGAAAGTACACTTGGGAGTACTGCAGCACGCCTTCCTGCTCAAAAGGTATGTGCAATGCAAGCCATGGGATCTGCACACCATGGGGTGGATTTAAGGATTCCCTGTACATTCACACTGAAGAACTGAGGCCCTCACTATGGCTGCAAAGGTGCAGAAGTCAACAGCCTGCCTGATGCAGCTGTGGGCTGTTGGAAGGGGTGTCTGGCCTGGGAGGAAGGTGCTGCAGCAAGCATCTGTGGGATGTTGCCAGCGAACAGTTGGTTTCCTGTTGCAGGTGGGAAGGATGAGTGCTCTTCTGGACAGGGCATAAAGTATCGGGGCAGCCACAGCACCACCCGCTCTGGGGCCACCTGCCTGCACTGGGACTCCAGAGCCTTGGTCGGCAAGGTCTACACAGCGCAGAAGAGCAATGCCCAGGAGCTGGGCCTTGGGAGCCACAATTTCTGCCGGTGGGTAGGAAGGGGGATCACACGGATAGCAGGAACCTCCCTTGCCTCCCTGTCCTGTGTCGGGGCTCAGACCTTGCCCCTGAATTAGGGCAGAGGTGCTGCACAGGCTCCATGGGAGGGCCCTGCCTGGCAAGGAGGCAGAAGCACATACATGCAGCCTGTCTAATGCTGTGCTCTACACACGTAGAGGAAACACCAGTGCCTTCCCCCATCCTCAGGCAACACCAGAACACAAGACAGCTCTCTGAGAGCCATCATGCTAGGGGTACACCAGGACATGGACAGCTTGCAGAGAGCCATCACGCTTTGTTAGCTGTCCTGTTCACTCCAAAGTCTTTGCAGGTCTAAGAAGCTGGACTATGCCCCTTCTCTGTTCCAGGAACCCGGACAACGACACCAAACCCTGGTGCCATGTGCAGATTGGAGGCCGGCTCATGTGGGAGTACTGTGACGTGCCTGCCTGCTGTAAGAGCCCCTGTGCTCCCCCACCCTATCTCCCTCTTCCTGAGAGTGGCCCCTGCTCTTGCTCACACTGGTTCCACTCCAGCTCCTCCAGTGAGTTAAGAGCTGGAATGGGACCACACCAGCAACACAGGAGCTTGGGCCACCAGTGCCCTTCTCAAACAGAAAGGCAGGCAGCAGAGCTGGTGGGACAGCCACAGCTTCCTTGCTGTGTTTTTCCTGTTGCTCTGTGAACAGTTTTCAGGGACAGTGTCAGATTAGGGCATTGACAGCCTCATGTCCAGGGCTGGTTCAGCACGTACCAAGCCTTTAGAGGCTTTTCAGCACAGGAGACAGGAAGGCACAGGACAAAGGAGAAAGCCTACATCTGTATCTGTCACCTCCAGCCACCTGTGGCCAGCGGCAGCGCAGCGTGCCCCAGTTCCGGATCATGAGGGGCTTCTACGCAGACATCGCCTCACACCCATGGCAAGCAGCCATCTTTGTCAAGTATCGGAAAGTCCCTGGGGAGCATTTCCTGTGTGGTGGGATCTTGATCAGCTCCTGCTGGGTCTTGTCAGCTGCCCACTGTTTCCAGGAAAGGTGAGTGAAGGACCCAGCCTGCGCCTCCTCTCCAAGAGCTAGAACAGGGACCAGGAGGATGCAGCAAGCCCAGACTGCCCCTTTAGGAGACATGGTATTTGGGTGGTGGCTGGCCCAGGCAGAGGGAGTGCGTGTGCCCTGCAAAACCTTTTGCTCCCCACGCGGCTTCCCTCAGCTATCACTAGAGGGGGACCACGCAGCCCACAAACTGCTTTGGGGGGAGCACAGCTTGACCAGGTCCCTTCTCAGCAGACCCCTTGCTTGCCACAAAGGGTCTTGGTCGTTCCACAAGAGCAGTGGCACACTGGCACCTGGAACAACTATGGTCTGGGCTCGCTCAACTGGAGACTGTAATCTCCACCACTGCCTGACGGGGTCAATGCAAGCAAGCAAGCCCAGGCCCACCTCTGCTCCTGTGGGGGCTTGCAGTGTTATAAGTGAAGGAGAGGAGATGCCTCTGGAAGTAAGTCCAGACTCCCCAGGTAATTAAGTTGCAATAAGACTACAGGGAAAGGAGGCAGCAGCACCTTCAAGGGAAGGATCACCTTTTTCAGAGAAGGGCGACTAAAGCTCTGTCCCTCTTCAGGTATCAGGCTCATCAGCTGAAGGTCATTCTGGGCAGGACTTATCGAGTGACCCCTGGGAAGAATGAGCAGCAATTCCAGGTGAAGAAATACATTGTGCACAACCAGTTTGACCCAGAGACCTATGACAATGACATTGGTGAGAACTTCTCCTGTCCCTCAGGCCAAACAGCACTGTCAGCCCCCGGCTTCTTCTCTCTCACACATTTTCTCCCCCTCCAGCTCTGCTGCAGCTGACGTCCGAGTCAGCCAAGTGTACTACTGAAACAGATACCGTCCGCACAGCCTGCCTCCCAGAGCCAGGGCTGCAGCTGCCTGACTGGACAGAGTGCGAGATCTCCGGCTATGGGAAGCATGAGTCATGTAAGCAAAGGGTGCTCCTTGTGCAGGGTACTGCTCCATGAGGTTCTCAGACATCAGCATAGGGAGGTCACGACAGCCCCAGGGTCGATGGGCTATAAATCAGCATTACAACTTGCATGGCCCAGTTCTGCCAAGCTTGTCCTGTACTCCCCCCTCCTTTCCCTCTGCACTGGGGTGCAGAATCCTCTCTCATCTGAAACCTTAATGCACAGGGAAGAGTAAGACCCTGGCATAAGGGAGCAGTTGGGCAGAAGGCAACAGCCTTGACTCCAAATTCTCTTCTACATCTAGGGCTCCCTTGCACAGGCTCTGTGAGGGAATGAAGTCTTCTGCACAGGGGTGCTGCAGAGCACAGTGCACAGAACCAGTACATTCCTGAAAGGTCCGATACGTGAGCAATGCCTAGCAAAGAGCAGACCAGCAATAGCAGATATGTCTATGCCAGCTAAAAGCTCAGCTGGAGGGTTTTCTAATGACTATATTTAAATGCAGCTAAGAAGCCTTCTCCTACTAGATGTACATTTGAGTCAGCCTGTATAAAAACAAGTGCTTCCCACTACTTTCCTCCTCCTCACTCCTTCCTGTCTCTTGATACACCCACCTTTTTCATCTGGTCTTTAAAGTGCAAGGTGTTTGAGGCAGGAACTGTCTGACTGTTTATTTGTGCAGAACCCAGCACAATGGAGGCTTCATACCAACTATGGGGAGCCTTTGCAAGCTACTCTAATAGCCTACTTGGAAACTTAATACACCATTGTGCTTGTAAAACAAACAGGAGTAAGCACCATTGAGGATCAGCTTCCTGCAGAACTCGGAACATGTTCGGGTGGAGCTATTTGCAGTGGAGAGTTTACAACTGAAAATTACTCGATGGATTAAAAACAATGATTCTTCCAACCCTCCTGCAAGTCCAGCTCCAACTGGGCCAGATCCCAGCCACCTCAAAAGAAAAGCTCTGCCCTCTCTGCATTCAGCGTAGCCATAACATACATGAACGCGCATTCCAATCCTGTTACACACCATTCTGTACCACTGAGGCTGTGTGTACACAGAGAGGGCATCTGGTTTCTGTTAGAGCAAGCCTAATCCCAGAAAGCCATAACCCCTGTCAAACAGCTCATGATTTGTCCCCAGCAACCCCGTCCCAGCTTTATACAATTCAATTTTTCTATCAAAAACAAGTTCGGGCTGTTGATTTATGTTAGACATTAGGAAGAAATGTTTTGCAAGAAGGGTGGCTAGAATCTGGAATGGGCTTCTAAGAGAGGTAGTACTATCACCTAACTTGGAGGTCTTCAAGAGGCTTGACAATCACCTGGCTGGGGTCATCTGACCTCAGTCCTCTTTCCTGTCAGGGGCAGGGGGTCAGACATGATGATCCATTGTGGTCCCTTCCGACTCTACAATCTACGAATCTATTCCTGTGAAACCCATGAGAGGCTCCATTTCCAGCTTCCATAAAGGTCCAGGAAGCCTGTTAGTGGAAGCAATTTGGGACAACAGTGTCAGCCGAGAGGAGCAGTGTCTACTCCCAGAGAGACCCAAAATTGACAGCTGATGACACAGGAACCCCAGGGGTTTCAAGAACAGTAATGGCAAGCAGGGGAATAGGAAAAGTGACTGTTCTGCATCTCCATTCACAGCCTCCTGGTCCCCCACCCTCCTGGAACTATCCAGAGAAGCAGAGGTGAGTCACAAAGCTCACACGTGCATCCATTTCTCTTACAGATTCTCCCTTCTACTCCGAGCGCCTGAAGGAAGGTCACGTCCGCCTGTTCCCAGCCAGCCAGTGCACATCTCAGCACCTTGACAACCGGACGATCACCAAGAACATGCTGTGTGCAGGGGACACCAGGCAGCTTGATGATGCCTGCCAGGTAAGCCTGCCAGAGACCTGTCTTTTTCTTCCAAGTCCTCCACGAAGCGTCCAGTTAACAACATAGAGATGATGCAGGGAAGCCAGGACAAAGCAACCCTGCATCAGATTCTCCTCAAAGTCACAAGCTTCCCAGTGGCCTGTGAAGAAAGATCACACTTGCCCAAACAAACCTAGGACAATGGGTATTGAAATCCAAACAGTAGAAACATCACTGATAACTGGGCAGGAAACTCCACCTGGTGCAGGGTTTCCCATGATTCTGTCAGAGGAGAATACCGTGAGGGCCTCACGAGGGGTGTCCGATAGCAAGTAGGTGTGAAGAAAGGGAAGAACAGGAGTGGGTAGTTGGGATGGAAGTAGATTTAGGTCCTAACAGCCTCACCAGCTTCCACAGCTCCTGAAAAACCTTGTTCTCGCCATTAAATTGCACTCTTATCCTATCGGGTTGGAAGAGCAATGAGGATTCTGGAAGTGCTGTTGTGCATGGCCTGAGAAAGTCCTTTAGGGTCTCACCCTTTCCCTCATGGTCACAGAGGGGCCCACAGAGCCTGCCTGGCACACCACAGCTTGGTTTTGAAAGGATTGTCACTGGTTGCACTTGAAGCTGGGACCCTCTGAAGACAAGGCCCCACATGACCCCTCGCCTTGACAGTGCACAGGAAATAGGATGGACCCACACAGGACACTTACAAGACAGTGTCACAATCCCTGTAGCCTTACATCAGTCAAAGAGAAACAGCAAAGGTGCTTCTTACTAACCTGCTTTCTCCCTGCAGGGTGACTCTGGAGGGCCTCTGGTCTGCATGAAGGATGATCGCATGCATCTGATTGGCATCATAAGCTGGGGAATTGGCTGTGGGAGCAAAGATATGCCAGGTGTTTATACCAATGTCACTCGTTACCTTGGCTGGATCCAGGACAACATGAACTCCTAAGGGAGATGGTGGACTATTTGAACCCTGTGGTCGTGCCCCCACTCCCCAAGTGCTTAGGGCATCACCAGAAGCTGCCGTCTAGAGGCCCACGCCTGCCCAAGAGGCAGGCACACAGCAGCGCAGGGTGTGAGAAACTCTTGCTAGGTACTTTCTCTTTCCTCATTTGGGGCTATTGGGAGTTTAGGGTATCCCTGTTACTTTGCACCAAGGCACAATACAAGACACACAAAACCCTGCAGCAGACCCCAGCATCCGGCAGGAGGCCCTGCAGCCCCAGGGAGGTGATGCTGCACTGGGAATGGCAGAGCACCAAGGCAGAGGGGACAGGTCTGGCTCCTGGGAGCAACCATCTCCTTCCTTCAGAGTAGGAAGGAGCACTTGCACTGTGCACCAGCGTGTGTGCAGAGAAGCACCAGTGCATGTGTTGTCTGCAGCATGTGCCCACATCATCTGTCTGACCCTCCTCTCCCTACCATGATGCATGGGCTGCACCTCACAACCACCACCACACTCTTGTGAGGCTGTTTGGCCCTTGCTTCACCTCCCCAGGGTGTGCTCAAGGATGCAATGAGCTGGGCAGGCAGGGTGCAAAGGAGTCATCATTCTGGGTCCAGTGTGTGTTGGGTGAAGTTCATGATCTCACATTGAGAAGCAGAGTGATCACACACCAAGCCTGCAACCAAAGAAGAATTTTCCTCTTTGCACCCATCCCCAGGCCTTGGCAGTGCACAGGGCCCAGCAAGAGCCTGCCGCAGAGGGAGCTGCTTTACCCACAGTGGACCCTGCCAGGCATGTGCTGCTTCTGCCCAGGAGCTCTAGAGGCACAGACCTTGATACCATTCACTTCCCCAAAGGGCCCTATGTCCAGACATGTATTTTCTATAGATTTGTGAAAGATTATTTTTGTACTTCTGTATATATTGGAACATTCCTATACTCCCTATGTGCATGCATATGTGCAAGTGTGTACGCTTGACTGTGGATTCTCACCAATGCATGAGGCTTGTCCCCAGAAACATTAAAGGTGACACGAACGCAGAGATCAGTGTGGCTCTCACTGCCAGGTTTCAGTGTCACTGATATATACAGGACAGGGCTACTTTTCACTGACCTGCCACTGTCAGCGGGGAAAGGATCCCAGCTGGGATTAAGCCCTTCTGATCCCCATTTCACTTTGAGTAATCAAACAGCCAGAGCCTGGCTCCAACGTGAACAGCACAGCCATGAGCATGGGCTGCTTGTTCCTACAGCAATGCACCACGGGGCTTTCTCAGTTCTTGGTAGTTTTGCAGCAAAACCCAGGCCTACGCTTTGAGCAGATGATGGAAGCAGGAGCTTCCTTGAACTAGTTAGCCCCCTGTTCACTGTCCCTCCTGCCTGAGACTCTCCAGGAACCTCTTTTCCTTTCCCATGTCACCCGCCATGCTCAGAATGGTCCCTGCAACCCCGCGCACTCAGGACTCTTTCTCTGAGTCTTTTCAGCTAAGCTCCATCTTTGCACCCTGCCCTTTCCCTCCAAACTGCCACCAAACAGCAACTAAGCCAGGAGGTCCCAAAACCCAGAGAACAGCCTAGCACCACTATTACCCATATCATGTGTCAGGCACCCCATGATTTGTCTAAAGCTCATCTTATTGGTAGGCTCAATCTGTCATGTTGTGTGTGTACATGTGTGTGGTGCTACTCAGTGATGGGGAGGACCGGTAGCCCTGGGTGCTCTTAAGATCCTGCCCACCACTCCCACATTGAGCTGCAACAGCTGCCACAAAGGATCACCCAATACCTCCAAACAATCCCACCAAACCCAACAGGATTGTCCCTAGAGCAAAGTGCACCCTAGCATGAGCCAGGTGGTCTGTGCCTCTAAGGACTCACTCATTATGGCTCTGTAGATGAGCTGCCTCTCTGCAGCGTGGGGCCTGGCTACTCCGTCCACACTGCAGTCATCCTCCACAGAGAGGCTTTCAGTCACACCAGCTGCAGGAGGCAAAGGAAGGAGAAAAATGATGCATTATGTGGCCTTTGCTCCCCTTGAGTTAGCTCTCTATATAACTATTCCCGGAGACAAGGAGCTTTCTGGTATCTGCAGGCAGTTCATTAACCAGAACCTAAAGGGGCCGACAGGGGGATGTGTTACTGCCAAGCTTGTGGTGACCACGTGAGCCTGAGTCAGACATTTTATTTTGTGTATCCCAAGAAAAACACAGCTGAGAGCCTCCCGTGGGTAATTGTACAATGCTGTTTGAAAAAAAAACCAAACCATAACAGCTTCAGGACAGAGGGAGACGGGAACGTGGGCCCCACCCCTCTAGGGCTGCTCAGCTGTGAGCAGAGGGCTCTGTTTAATTTGAGAAAGCAGCCTAGGTGCCAGGTTTGAGGATGCCACTTTAGAAGACTGGAGCCCCTCTCTGAGTCACCTCATAGAAGCCACGAACTACAGGGAGACCAGCCACAAACTGCAGGAAGGTTGCTGACTCAGCAGGGGAGCAGGCTCTGGAGGCAGCAAGGCTGTCCGAAGAGCTCCAGTCTGTTCAAGGTGGGACTCAGCCTGCACCCACAGCAAAGTAGGGGAGCAGTGTCCTACAAACCAGCAAGCACTTTCATTGGAGAGACGCTTTAACAAGCACAACATGAAGACAGAGAAGTGTCTTCTGTCCACAGGACTGGCTGGGGTCTGGAAGAAAAGCCTAATCTTCCTCGGGAGCAGGCCTAGCAATATGGAACAAAACATGCCTGCAGGCAAGAACCTCAATGCACCTTCACAGACGTTGCAGCAGCTGTTCAGAAACCACCGTGTCAAAGTGACCGTTCTCCAGTCACCCTCATCCCAGGCAATGGAGCTTGGATCACCCTGCAGCACCGGCACCACCAACTGACTGCAGCTTCAGGCTCCGATGTAAACACTGAAGTGATGTGGCCCCGTTCAAATCAGTCAGTCAGCGGAGACCATCCCTGGACAGGAAGCAGCAGAGCCTGGATCCCAGCACCGTGCATTGGTAACTCAATGAAATGATTCATTATTTGCAGGTATGTAGCCCCCAGATGCTCCAGTCAGGGTCTCTGTGCTAGATACTGTACCTCTGCACAGTAGGAATTAGTTCCACCAGAACAGCTTATGACCTAACTGAAGAAGGAAGACAAAGGGTGGGACAACAGAAGTATGTCCCCATTTTGCAGATAGCGAGCAACTTGCTATAGCTGCCCACGTCTGTCCAGCCAACAATCTGCAAGCAGGCTCCAAAGACAGCAACCCCTTCACACAAACCTCAGAACAAGTTACCCTCATTCCCACAATATGAGAATCCCCCAAGTCATGCTGACAAAGCATAGGACATTCACAAACAAGGTTAGCGTCCTTCAGAGCAATTTCATTGCTTTTTCCAGGTATTGGTTCGCAATTTCATTGCTTTTTCCAGGTTTTGGTTCTAGAGGAGAGAGAGTGCCATTCCGTGTTCATCAAAGCTATCTCCGAGGGTGGCTCAGCCTGCCCTCTCCTGGCATTCATAGGCCAGCAGCCAGATGACCCAGATGAACGACACGAACACAGGCATATGCAGCCGCAACCGGCACAATCGTGTGTCTCGTGAAAAAACCCAAAGATTCTCTATCATCTGAGGGCACCATCTCCTGGGCACAGGAAGAAATACAACAGAACTGCACTTGCCACAGATCTGAATTTTTTGTGCAAAATACTCCAGAAAAAAGCTCAGGGATTGAATCAGAGAGTGCAAACTGGCATGTCACGGACAGCTCTGTCATTACAAGCGTTTCCAACTCTGTGGTCTGCACATTACTCCTCTGAGGATAATCTGGACTGCGAAGGTCCAGCTGCAGAGACAAGACGGAAACTTGTTGAAGAGCCCTAAGGGAGTCTCGGTTACTATCTCCAGACAGCTCCCAGCTGGCTGCCTCTTTCCAGCCAACCCAGCACCTCATTTAGTTATGACTTCAGAGCTCCTTTTACTGGATCACCTGCCAGTCAAGACTCAGCGTGGTGGGATGCGGACTCTGCCACACACAGACACTGCAGCCCTTCAAACCCCAAACAGACCACTCCAAACGCAGGTCACAGGTAAAACAACTTTATTGATGCTCAGATCGAACCCGTACATTTGTAGCGAGCATGCTGAGTTTTGAGGCCACCCCGCAGCAGCGTTCACATTAGTTGCATAGGAATATGTAATTCCAAAATGAGGCACCACACACACAGCACAGAGCAAGACACTTGCTATCCTACAGCCTGTCACCCCCTCCAGCTCATATGTGCACTGGAGCCCAGAGCCACAGCAGCTTCACAGGGACCAGAGTCACATGCGCAGCAACTCACCAGGTGAATCCTGCTGCCACAGCAAATGCCACAGACAGCATCTCATCGCCCAGAGTGCACTGCAGATAAGGCAGAGCAACACATGCACTGCTCACATCTCACATGTGCTTTGCTCTGCAGTGGGAGGCATCACCGGCTGGGACAGCCTAGCACAGCATAGCATCTCACAGGACAGGTGGCCCCAGAGGCAAATACACCACACCACACGGGCCAGAGTCCACCCGCAGTAGAGCAAGACAGAGTGGAATGAGGTTAGACAGCCAGAAGCACAGGACTACCTACATCCACCTCAGTAAGCAGCAGGACAGCAGCGCCTCATCACTATCAACAGACAAGCAGTCAGACACAGAAGTCTCTGCCCCACATACTGCCAAGGCATTGCTCAGCCTCTGCTTGCTGCAGTGAGGATTCCCGTTAGACAGCACTTTATACAGATGCTTAAATAAAGGTTATGTACACAGCTGTACCCCCACCTGCCAGCAGGGAACCAGGAGCAATTCCCCCTCCCAAATACTAAACGGAGAGAAGAAGCAACATGCACATTCAGAAACATCAATCTACCAGGCCTTAGGGTGACCCTTGCTCCAATGAGCTCTTGGAAGGGCACGATTCTGAGGCTTCAGGAGGTTTCCCATCCATCCTCAGGCGCTCAGGAGAAGAGCTGCACATGCCAAGCACTGTTATTTCAGCCACCTCCCCAAGGCCTGTGTGTCCTCCCCTTGCACCTCCTCTCTCCAGCTCCCTTTGCTCCTCCACAGAGAACATC